CATCAAAGCCCGCCCCACCAGCCCATGCTCATCAACGGACACAGTCCTGCGATGGGAGATCGTGGACCTGTGGTGGGGATGATGCCCAGCAAGAGGTGGGAGAATTACTGCTGTGGAGGACCGGGGAGGGCGGACACGCGAGGAGGAGGAGGAGGTGGGGAGGGAGGCGTGGGGGGAGTATGTGCGTCGTTCGGAAGAGAGAGGGCTTCCGGGGTTGGGGGAGGGGGAGGAGGGGAGGCCGGGGAGGGTGGGAGCTTCGGGGGAGTTGGTCCCGTTAAGAGTGCCGATTCCACTGAAGCTACGACTCCTGGTGAGGAGTGAGGGGAGAAGAAGGCGGGTGGGAGGGGAATGCGGGAGAGGAAGAGGTGCATAGAAAGGGAATGGGAAAGGAGTGGAGTTTGGAAAAGGAAGAGCTAGAGAGGAAAGCTGGGAGGGTGGGGGCTCCGGGGAGTTGGTCCAGTTAAGAGTGCCGATTCCACTGAAGCTGCAACTCCTGGTGGAGAGGGAGGGGGAGAGGAAGGGAATGGGGGATGAGAGTGTGGAAGAGGAACAAGTGAATAGGAAAGAGGGAGGGGTGGGGGCAGTTGGTCCCAGTGGGAGGGTAGTGTGGAAGGCAGAGAGGTGAATAGGAAGGGAATGAGGACGGAAGGGAATGGGGGAGAAGAAGAATGTGGGAGAGGAAGAGGTACGTAAGGGAGGAGGGGAATTGATATGATTTTCGCAGAGTGAGGAAAAAAGCAAGGACCCTCCGGTTTGAATCGGAATGATAGAGGAAAAAGGGTGTGTGGCATGCGGCAATGTTACTCTCTCATTCATACACTTGAGCATTTTGCAAGCATATTAGTCCAGAATAACGCAGCTTGAGGCCTGTATGTACTTGCATCAGCTGTAGAAGCTTTATGTAAAATCAAAATCACATGAGTCAGTTCCATGTGCTCCATTCTATAGATAATACAGTATGTCTGCTTGACTAATGAACATGCTTCCAAACGCATCCCCATTGTATAACATGCCAACTAAATATATGCCTAATATGCCTGCGTCATGTATGCCTGAGTCGAATAACCGTATTGTAGGTAACGTGGTGCCTTTTTGTCATATCATGCTATCGTGATAATGTAGTTACAAACCATTGTCACTAACCTGTAGCCTTTGTTATGCCTTGACACTGGATATAACTCACGCTTGTTCATGGTCAGCATTGGGAGCATATATCTCTCGGAGAGAACTTAGGTAGCATCTGTGCATGTGTGATTCTGTTCTTAGTGTGTTAGTTTCATTAAGCGTCAGTGTACAGTGTACGCTCACCTGAATCCTCGCCGATGCTTTGACGAAGCGTCTCTCGTGGGGGTCAACTCGCGTTCGTCGTCCTTCCCCTCGCCATAGTCACCGTCCTGCGTAATCGTCACTTCCCACGCGCGCGCGCTGCCTTCCCCCTTTGCACCCCGCGCAACCCCGCTCCGCCGCCCGCTACCGAACTCGCCCACACCCCCAATCGGCCCCGCCTGCGCCATACTTTCGAAACTCCCCCCCTTCGCTCCTCGGCGCAAAACTTGCGCGCTTCTCTCCACGTTTCCGCCACTTTCCCCGGGCCATCCCGCACCTCCGTTCGCGATCACACCATCCCCTGCGCCTCCCGCACTAAAGCCGCTACTCGAACCAAAGCTCGCGCTTTTAAAGGCTTCCCTCCTCCGCCCCTGGCGGGACGCCGCCTCTTCTTCCGCGTCTAGCTGCTCCGCTTCCGCCACCGCTTCCCGGTGCCGGTCGAACGAAAAATATGCCACCTTTGGCGGCGGAGCTGGCGCTGCAGCTGCGCGCGAAGGCGCGCAAATCGGGGACCTGGGCCGCGGAAATGCAGGCGATCTAGGACGGGCGTTACCGCCGCCACCACCGCCGCCGTTACCGCCGCTGCCGCTGCCGACGCTCCCGCTACGGGCGACACCACTTATGCCGCTGCCGACGCTCCCGCTGCGGTGTTCCGAACCGTTCCCGGCGGCGTCGCTGCTCGCTTCCCCTCTCACGCTATCCCGGTTATTGTTCCGCGATTTCCCCGCGCTGCCGCTGTGGGGATTCTGCGGGGGCGACTCCGCGCGCCCCCCGCAGGCGGAACCGGAAGCGAGACCAGATGCCGCCCATTGCTGCTGCGACAGCTGAAGCTTCTGATGCTGCTGCTGCTGTTGCTGTTGCTGCGGATATTGCTTAGCTTGCTGCGTCAGCTCGAGCGAAGCGGCGTCGGAGGTGCAAACGGTTGCGGAACGGCGGAAAAAATCAGGGAGGGATTCTTCCCCGTCTTCCACCGACATGGAAGCGGGAATAGCGCCGCTGCTGCTTCCGCCACCGCTGCTTCCGCCCGTGCTGCTTCCGCCGCCGATGCTAGTCCTCATTGTAGCGCGCGTGAATGTCGCGGACCGCATCGGCGAAGGCGCGTCGTCTTCCGCGAAACTTCGACGACGCGGATTGGACCACACTCGGGCTGCTTGTCCGCCGGTTTTAATCACCTGCTCGAGAAACCGCTCCTTCTTCCCGCTTCCCCCGCTCCTGCCTTCCGCGCTCCCCGCCGTGCCGCTTCCCCCAGTGCCGGTCCCCGCTGTCCCTCCGCCTCCGCCATCTCCCCCTTCTTCCCCTCCTTTCGCGCCGTTCCGAAACGACCAGAGGCGCTGGAACTTTCCACCTCCGTCCTTGCCGCCCCCGCCGCTGGCCCCCCCGCTCGACGAGCGGCCGCTCCCCCCGCCCGCGGACTCCGTAACCGTCTTGGTCTTGACGAAATTCGCGAAGTTTCGCAAGTCGGATTCGCTGATCTTGGACGCGGTTCCCCCCGGGCGCGAGTGCAGCGGAGACGTGCTGCTGCGCGATCGGGGGACAATGTCGTGTTGGGGGGGAACGGAGAGCGGAGTTTCGTCCGCCAGGGTCTCCCATGCTTCGTCTAATAATTGCCCCGAGTCTTTTCGGTGGTGCCCGCCAGCTGTGGCTTCGCTTCCATCATCGTTAAAGTAGTATCTCGAGACGGGGCTGCTGAGGGGGCTGTAGCTCAGCGGGCTGTAGCACTCGTCTCGAGCGGCCATGGTTACCTGAAGTCCTATTACACAAATTCTATGTTCAACGCGTACTTAAACGCGTATGGGTACTGAGCAGGACAGGTTGAGGCTTAACGCGAATGGTGCTGCCCCTAATAGACTTAAGTGCCTCTCATTGACGCAGTAGGTGGTGCCGACCCATTGACACATCGACTCATTGCTGACCTAAGTACTTTATGCCATCTTAGCCTGCTAGACGATCCATCCAGTATATTGAGCAGCTTACAATCAACATGCGTGCAGTAAGCGGCAATTTGACGCGAACGGAATCACTTCTCAATGTAGAGCCGTGTTCGCGAAATAATTACCGATTTAGTCGCCAGGCGCGACGATAGCAGACTAAGATATGTGGTTAGGGGGGACTGACTCTCTTGCACAGCTGTACGGTAGTTGGTGCAGTTTAGGGCAGTTGAGCACTGATGAAAGGAACCAGATTATGTCGACGATCGCTACAGTGGGTGTTGCGTCTCGCCGAAATAATTCGTGACAGGGTTACAGATACACATGCCTTGGTGTCCCCAAGTGTGTGCGGGCACCTGTGGCGGGCAATGGAGCATCCAGTAACCAATCGGATGTTGGCCAACAAGCTGAGTGGAGCAAAACAGACCACTCTGCCCGATTATAAATTTCCAACCACAAAACGAACTCCCACTGGCCACCACACCTCAAAATGGGTGGTGGGAAACCTAAGAGTATCGGTCAAATTCATGGGCGGACTCGACTGGCGGTACGCGTACTTCGAACAAACAGACCCCAGTGACAAAAAAGTGTAGCTCGGCTTCCATTCAACAGCAGGGGTTTCCCACAGTTACGACTGCTTTTGCTGTATACTTCAATACCCAAAAAAAAGCAGGGGTTTCCCAGTGTCACCTTTTAGTACACGTACAGTTGGGTGATTTGCAAAGGATTGCAAGTTCATGCAAGCACTGCCGCCACATAACTCCGAGGGGCGGACGGGAAACTTTTCACTCCTCGCCTGGCTGGAACCTAGCTGGCAAGGGTTTGTCGTCACCTCCGGTACAGTTGACGGATGTGAGGTAGCGGATTACAGCAGAGAGCTCAGTGCAGATGAACAATACACTTATTGAGTTCAAGACATTTCTTTATCAATTAGCAGTGCAAAATGTGAAATGGCCAGTTGCTCTATAATACACACGCTAATCTTGGTGCACGTGAAGTATATTGAGCCACCAAAGGTATCCTCGGCAGCTCCACCAGCCTGGCATATTGGGTATCACAGGAACACCACCACAAGCAGCAGCAACCAACACACCAGCAGCACAGCGCACCTCCACCACCACCAAGACAACCATCACCCTCACCATCACCACCTCCATTCAAGCAGCAGCGACAGCACGACTAGCAACTGCAGCTGCCTCTGCAGTCTCTGCCACATCTGCCGTCTCTGCTGCCTCTGCAGCTCCGGCAGTCGAGAAATCTCATAAACCAGGCAGTGACGCGTGATCAACGTTGAGCGGGGTGGGGCTTCTCACTCCCTGCAGTCGAGAACTCTCTTAAACCAGGCAATGACATGCCACTAACGACGAGCGGGGTGGGGCTTCTCACTCCCTGCAGTCGAGAACTCTCTTAAACCAGGCAATGACATGCCACTAACGACGAGCGGGGTGGGGCTTCTCACTCCCTGCAGTCGAGAACTCTCTTAAACCAGGCAATGACATGCCACTAACGTTGAGCGGGGTGGGGCTTCTCACTCCCTGCAGTCGAGAACTCTCTTAAACCAGGCAATGACATGCCACTAACGTTGAGCGGGGTGGGGCTTCTCACTCCCTGCTGCCGCTTCTGCAGCCTCCCTCCCCCGCCCTCCCCTCCCTCCCCCCCCCTCCCCCCCCGCCCCGTCCCCTCTCCTCCAATTTCTGCAGCCTCTCTGCAGTCGAGAACTCTCTTAAACCAGGCAATGACGTGCCACTAACGACGAGCGGGGTGGGGCTTCACAATCCCTGCTGCCGCCTCTGCAGCCAAGTACACCTGGTCCTTGTTCAGCAGCTCGTCTGCTTGCTCCTGGGGGTGGGGGAAAAAATGGAGAGCAGGAGCGGGAGAGCAGGAGGTATTTTGTGACGTTTTAGCCCAGAGCCATGCAGCCGCCTCTGCAGCCAAGTAGACCTGGTCCTTGTTCAGAAGCTCGTCTGCTTGCTCCTGGGCAAGGGAAAGAGGCGTGAAAGTGGGGGGAAGTGGGGGAGGGAAGGGTTTCAAGACGTCTCTCTGATACCCTGCTGCCGCTTCTGCAGCCAAGTACACCTGGTCCTTGTTCAGCAGCTCGTCCACTTGCTCCTGTGTGGAGGGGTTGAGGTTGGGGGTGAGGGGAGGGGCTTGGGAGTGAATGAGTCATCTCTGCCTCTGCAGCCAAGTAGACCTGGTCCTTGTTCAGAAGCTTGTCTGCTTGCTCCTGGGCGAGGGAAAGAGGCGTGAAAGTGGGGGGAAGCAGGGGAGGGAAGGGTTTCAAGACGTCTCTCTGATTCCCTGCTGCAGCTTCTGCAGCCAAGTACACCTGGTCCTTGTTCAGCAGCTTGTCCGCTTGCTCCTGTGGAATGGGGAGGAGGGAGAGAGGGCAGGGTTTTGAGACGTCTGCTGCCGCCTCTGCAGCTACACATGGTCCTTGTTCAGTAGCTCGTCTGCTTGCTCCTGGTAAAAAAGGGCAGTGGGGAAAGGAGAACAGGAGTGGTAGGTGGGGGATGGGGAGGGTGGGAGAGGGAGGGAAAAGAGAGAAGGGTAATGGTAAAACGCGTTTGGCTGTGCACCCGGTGAATCACTTGTATTCGGTGCCTGGGGTGAATGATCTGTAATGATTCAGAGGGTATATCATCAGTTACTTGTGGCAAGGGTGATTTACCTGTACTGTAGTCTTTGAAATGGATACACGAGAATAAACTGAACCAAGACCTGTCATAAGTGAGAAGGTAAGTCACATACATTTGTGGCAAGGGTGATTTACCTGTAATCTGTGCAGAAGATACATGAGGAATAGATGAACGAAGACCTGTCGTGGTGATGATATGAGGAGAGACGGATAAGGGGATGGTGATGGTGATGTAATCTGTGCAGCAAGAATAGATGAACGAAGACCTGTCATGGGAATGTGAATAACATAGAAGGATAAGAGAATGGTGATAGCGACGGTGGCAGTTATGGTACATACACAAGAAAATAGAGAAGGAAAAGGGTAGCAAAAGCACGGGTAAAAGAAGGCCAACAGAGCGACTGTGGGTGAGTGTTTCCTTCTCTTTTTTTCCAAAACCACAGAGTCCCACCCCTAGTTTACATTATTTCTTTCTTTCTTTATTTCTTTCTTTCTTTCTTTCTTTCTTTCTTTTCTTTCTTTCTTTCTTTCTTTCTTTCTTTCTTTCTTTCTTTTTTTTTTCGTTCTTTCTTTCTTTTGGGCGAGCCAGTACCAGGTAGCAGACAAGTCCAAGACGGGCCAGTGGGCGGCGCCAGAGGAAACGGCCGGCAGTCACTGTGCCGTGATCGATGAGCTTTGCTGCTTGCTGTGGAGGGGAAGAAAGAGGGGGGTGGGGGGAACCAAGGAGCGGGGGTGGGGGTGGTGGGAAGAGTCTCGGAATGGGTTTTATGGATGTGCGGAAAAAAGCAGCTACCAGTCACTATGCTGTGATCGTAGAGCTTAGCTGCTTTGATGTGGCGAGCAATAACGGAGAGGAGGAGAAAGAGGAGCACCGGGGAAGAATGAACGGACTTGGGACCTGTCATGTAATAAGACCTGCAATGCAACCTCCTTTCCAGAAGGAGCGAGGCGACTTCAGAGACAACCAGAAAACGAACTTCCTGGGTCCTGGGACCTCATTTCCAATGAATAACGCCCTCCAATAACGTCCACTGGAAACCAAGGCTCCACTCGTGTGCATCTCACCTGGATTGGAGATGCTTTTCAGTTTTTTTTTTTTTTTTTTTTTTTTTTTTTTTTTTTTTCACGTCATGAATTGAGCACGAACCCCCCTCCACGTCTACCCCACCCCCCGAGTCCTAAGACATCAATCGTGTGTGTCTCACTCACCTGAATCCTCTTGCCAATGAAGCGCCGGTTGGGGAGACCCACGGACCTGTGGGAGGTGAGAAGCGGCAAGTGAAGGCAACTATTGGTGAGATGCATTGACATGAGTTGAGAAATGGTGAAAGGCAGTGAAAAGTGGTGAGACGAGTTGACAAGAGTTAAAAAGAGGCGAAAGCGGACAAGACGTCTTCTACACAACCACCACTACCACCACCACACACATCACCACACATCACCACACACATCACCACACACACCATCACGCCGCAGAACACCGAAGCACTGCAGAGCACCACTCACTCCAGAGGCTGCATCTCGCTGTCCTCCTCGTCTGCAGCCATCAGAATCGACCGGCGTGCCGCTCTGTCCCTCTCTGCCTGCGCCTGAAAGGGACGGAAGGGGGAGGAGAGAAAAGGAGGATGGGCCATAAAAGGAGGATGGGCCATAAAAATTCAGACTCCCCATCAGAATCGACCGGCGTGCCGCTCTGTCCCTCTCTGCCTGCGCCTGAAAGCAATGGGAGGGGTGAGAGAGAAATAGAATGTTTATGAATGGAATGGGGCATAAGGTTCAGTTCATACCATCAGCTCAGCACCAATTGACCGGTTTACATCTGGCAGAGGCAACATCAACATAAAATGCACCGACGCGTGGTTTACCTTGACCAATTGCAGCTCTCGCCTCTCCTTGTCCAGTTGCAGCATTGCCGCTTGCCTCTCACTCGTCAATGTTTCTAACTGATTCCGTTGAGGCACATTTAACCATTGAGGGTGCCTAGCCGAAGAGGTTTACCTTGGCCAATTGCAGTTCTCTTCTCTCTTTGTCCAGTTGCAGCATCGCTGCTTGCCTCTCACTTGTCATCGTTTCCAGTTGACTCTGCTTCAGACACTGCAATGTGGGGAGGGGAGGGGAGGGGAGGGGAGAGTGGGGAATGGAGTGAATCAGCCGAAGCAGCAGCATCGCTGCCTGCCGTTCACTTGTCATCGGGAAGGAAGAGGAATGAGAGGGGGCAGAGAAATGGGGGGGGGGGGGGGGGGGGGGGGGGGGGGATTGGCAACACAGTGTGTGGGTAGGGAGTGGTGGGTGGAATATAAAAAAAAAAGAGTTATATGCTATGGTTGTGACTTGGAGTGGTGTGGTGGGTAGGTAGGTACAGGTGTATTTTGAGGCGCCTCAATGAGTCTTGAAGTGATGACTCACGACTTGAAGTGATGACTCACGACTTGAAGTGATGACTCACGACTTGAAGTGATGACTCACGACTTGAAGTGATGACTCACGACTTGAAGTGATGACTCACGACTTGAAGTGATGACTCACGACTTGAAGTGATGACTCACGACTTGAAGTGATGACTCACGACTTGAAGTGATGACTCACGACTTGAAGTGATGACTCACGACTTGAAGTGATGACTCACGACTTGAAGTGATGACTCACGACTTGAAGTGATGACTCACGACTTGAAGTGATGGATTCGTACAGCTGCCTGATGACCTTAACAATGCGATGATGATAAACACAGCAAAGAATTCTGGCACAACATTTACAGACTCTGTCAATCGGCTCTGCTAAATGTTATCAGGTAGACGATTGACTCTCTTTTTGAGGCGCCTCAAAAGTCGGCTCTGCTAAATGTTAGTAGGTAGACGATTGACTCTCTGACAAGCTCTGACACTCACCAGCATGTCTGTCAAATCTCTAAGAACTCTGTCAACTCCTTAACAGATTCTGTCACACTTATCAGCAGCTTTTTGAACTTGCTGACTGACTCTGTCACCAGCAGCTCTGTCAACTCACCAGCAGCTCTGTCAACTCCTTGAACCGTTTCTCCATTTCTGCATTGGCCTGCGCAGATAGAGGAGAGGGGGGAGCGGAGGGAGCGGAGGGTGAGGAGGGTGAGGAGCGGAGAGGAGGGTGAGGCGGTTAGGTGAGGCAAGGAGAGCAGAGGAGAGGAGAGGAGGGGAGTGTGGGGGGGAAAAGGAAGGTGAGGGAAGAAAAAGAGAAGATGAGCAAAACACGAGCAGACACGGAGGGAATTCAAGAGAGCCCCCACCTTGAGGAAGGAATATGAATGGCAGAGCGGAAAATGCAGATGAACATGCACTGCACATCACTGTAAAAAGGATACAGAACATGCTGCAGCGAGTGTTTTTTGAGAATTCTCAAAAAGGATACAGAACATGCCTGTAACGAGGATGAATCTGCGTCCCTCTTTTGGGCTTCCACCTCCACCCGCAGCTTCTGCACCTCTGCCTGCACGCATGGGCCAGGGGAGAGAATGATGGATGGATGGGTTGTAAGGTGGGTGAGGAATTTGGGAAGGGTTACAGCACATGCCTCCCCCCTCTTGTGAGCCTCCACCTCCACCCGCAGCTTCTGCACCTCTGCCTGCACGCATGGGCCAGGGGAGAGAATGATGGATGGATGGGTTGTAAGGTGGGTGAGGAATTTGGGAAGGGTTACAGCACATGCCTCCCCCCTCTTGTGAGCTTCCACCTCCACCCGCAGCTTCTGCACCTCTGCCTGCACGCATGGGCCAGGGGAGAGAATGATGGATGGATGGGTTGTAAGGTGGGTGAGGAATTTGGGAAGGGTTACAGCACATGCCTCCCCCCTCTTGTGAGCCTCCACCTCCACCCGCAGCTTCTGCACCTCTGCCTGCACGCATGGGCCAGGGGAGAGAATGATGGATGGATGGGTTGTAAGGTGGGTGAGGAATTTGGGAAGGGTTACAGCACATGCCTCCCCCCTCTTGTGAGCCTCCACCTCCAACCGCAGCTTCTGCACCTCTGCCTGCACGCATGGGCCAGGGGAGAGAATGATGGATGGATGGGTTGTAAGGTGGGTGAGGAATTTGGGAAGGGTTACAGCACATGCCTCCCCCCTCTTGTGAGCCTCCACCTCCAACCGCAGCTTCTGCACCTCTGCCTGCACGCATGGGCCAGGGGAGAGAATGATGGATGGATGGGTTGTAAGGTGGGTGAGGAATTTGGGAAGGGTTACAGCACATGCCTCCCCCCTCTTGTGAGCCTCCACCTCCACCCGCAGCTTCTGCACCTCTGCCTGCACGCATGTGGATGGGCCAGGAACGACGGGATAGAGAGATAGGTGGATGGGGCATGTGCTCGTTATAGGGAAAGACAAGGATGGATCCTTGCTCGTTAAGGATGGGCAAGCAGGATCCAACATTGTCCCTCGCAGCGCAGCTTCACTCGCAAGCGGGATGGATCCATGCCTGTGAGCCTCCACCTCCACCCTCAGCTTCTGCACCTCTGCCTGCATGGGTGGGCCAGGAGAGAGAATGATGATGGGCAGTAAGTGGGCGGGGAGTGGAGGGTGACGCTACAGCACATGCATCAACTGTCACTCGTGTGAGCCTCCACCTCCACCCTCAGCTTCTGCACCTCTGCCTGCATGGGTGGGCCAGGAGAGAGAATGATGATGGGCAGTAAGTGGGCGGGGAGTGGAGGGTGACGCTACAGCACATGCATCAACTGTCACTCGTGTGAGCCTCCACCTCCACCCTCAGCTTCTGCGCCTCTGCCTGCATGGGTGGGCCAGGAGAGAGAATGATGATGGGCAGTAAGTGGGCGGGGAGTGGAGGGTGACGCTACAGCACATGCATCAACTGTCACTCGTGTGAGCCTCCACCTCCACCCTCAGCTTCTGCGCCTCTGCCTGCATGGGTGGGCCAGGAGAGAGAATGATGATGGGCAGTAAGTGGGCGGGGAGTGGAGGGTGACGCTACAGCACATGCATCAACTGTCACTCGTGTGAGCCTCCACCTCCACCCTCAGCTTCTGCACCTCTGCCTGCATGGGTGGGCCAGGAGAGAGAATGATGATGGGCAGTAAGTGGGCGGGGAGTGGAGGGTGACGCTACAGCACATGCATCAACTGTCACTCGTGTGAGCCTCCACCTCCACCCTCAGCTTCTGCACCTCTGCCTGCATGGGTGGGCCAGGAGAGAGAATGATGATGGGCAGTAAGTGGGCGGGGAGTGGAGGGTGACGCTACAGCACATGCATCAACTGTCACTCGTGTGAGCCTCCACCTCCACCCTCAGCTTCTGCGCCTCTGCCTGCATGGGTGGGCCAGGAGAGAGAATGATGATGGGCAGTAAGTGGGCGGGGAGTGGAGGGTGACGCTACAGCACATGCATCAACTGTCACTCGTGTGAGCCTCCACCTCCACCCTCAGCTTCTGCACCTCTGCCTGCATGGGTGGGCCAGGAGAGAGAATGATGATGGGCAGTAAGTGGGCGGGGAGTGGAGGGTGACGCTACAGCACATGCATCAACTGTCACTCGTGTGAGCCTCCACCTCCACCCTCAGCTTCTGCACCTCTGCCTGCACGCATGGGCAGATAGGGATAGGGGGATCGGGGGGGATAGAGGGATAAGGGGGAGAGAGAGAGACAGGGAGACAGGGTAGGGGGATAGGACGTAAGGGGGATAGGACGTAAGGGGGATAGGGGGATAAGGGGGAGAGGAGGTGACAGCGAGAGAGGGTGACAGTGAGAGCGGGCTGGGAACAGGGTGAGGCGTAAGAGGGCAGATGCTTTTCCACATCTCTATGTGCTTCTCGCCTCTCTACCTACCAGTGTTTCCTCCCCTCCCCTCCCCTCCCCTCCCCTCCCCTCCCCTCCCCTCCCCTCCCCTCCCCTCCCCTCCCCTCCACTCCACTCCCCTCCCCTCCCCTCCCCTCCCCTCCCTTCCCCTCCCCTCCCCTCCCCTCCCCTCCACTCCCCTCCCCTCCCCTCCCCTCCCCTCCCCTCCCATCTGCTCACCTCGCTGCCTGCCAGCTTCCCCTCTGCCTCTCGCAGCAGCTGTCTCGCTCGCTCTGACTCCTCCTTCCATGCCTGGACCTGCTAACAATCAGCGCGTGGGGAAAGGAGGAGGGGGGACAGGGATGGAGTGTTGATACACCTGCTTTATGCAGCTGCCTCGCTCGCTCTGCCTCCTCCTTCCATCCCTGCACCTGCCACCATGCAAGGGCGACGAGATAGAAGGGAGGAAGGGGGCTATGCGGGTGGGGAATAGGGACGGGGGCTAGACAGAGCTGCGTCAAAAGCAGCTGCCTCGCTCGCTCTGCCTCCTCCTTCCATGCCTGCACCTGCCACCATGCAAGGGGTGACAGGGGGGAAGGGAAGGGGGTGTTACGGGTGGGGAATAAGGGCGAGCGATTATTACAAGCCTGCAACAAAGCAGCTGCCCTCACTAACTCCAACTCCTCCTTCCATAGCCTCCTTGCGTTACCACGTTACCATGGATACATACATGCAGGTACTAGCAACCCACCTGTGCGAGGACGGAGGGGTCGTCTGCTGAGAGAGAGCGGCCACATGGGATGGGATCACTCTTGGCCTTTTGCGCAAGCAATGAGCGTCGCGCATGCATGTGTACATAAGCCAGCCAACCTTTTAACAGTCAAACCAAGCTAACAACCCACCTGGGCGGGGACGGAAGGGTCGTCTGCTGCGACTGGTCGCCTGAGATCCCCCTTGGCCTTTCCAGTGAGCAAAGCGCACGACACATGCACATACACAAACCAACTAACACCGGACAAGCCAACCGGCTAACAAACCCACCCACCTGCGCGAGGACGGAGGGGTCGTCTGCTGTGACTGGTCGCCTGAGATACCCCTTGGCCTTTCCAGTGAGCAAAGCGCACGACACATGCACATACACAAACCAACTAACACCGGACAAGCCAACTGGCTAACAAACCCACCCACCTGCGCGAGGACGGAGGGGTCATCTGCTGAGACTGGTCGTCGGAGGTCCCTCTTTGCCTTGTCGTCGTGTGCTTGTAGCTCGCTGTTGAGACTGCTGCACTCCATCTGTTACCGGGTAACCATGCATGCATACACACGTGCAGGTACACGCACACATACATGCAGGTATACGCACATGCAGGTACACACACACATTCGTGTACATGCAATGCCAAACATGCATGGACAGGCAGACAGGCACATGTGTATGCAAAAGTAGTCACACGAACATTCATGAATACTTGTCCCTGCAGAAGAATGTAATGCCTGCTCTGCCACAGAGAAATCAAAATAGGATTAGATAAGTCCCCACTTACTAGAAAACTATTCATGTATGCATAAAAACTATTCGAATAACGCCTCACCCACCCACCCTCACTCACTGTCAATCCACCCAACCTTATCCTCATTCCAACCTCAACCGCGACCCACACAATCACCTCAAGTAAAGATATATTTTCTTCCAAGGACGAGACTCGCTGTGTGCGCTCCTCCACTGCCCTCTGCATGCGAGAGAGCGCCGCCACGCCCTCCGCCACCTGCTCTACCCTATGCTGCTCCAACTGAAACACTCTCGCGCTCTCACCCTCTCTCTCACCTCAAGAACAGATATCTTCTCTTCAAGGGATGACACGCGCTGTGTGCGCTCCTCCACTGCCCTCTGCATGCAAGAAAGTGCTGCCACACCCTCTTCCCCCTGCTGCCCCCTACTACTGCTCCAAATCCTACCCTCCCTCACACTCACCTCGAGAACGGATATCTTCTCTTCAAGGGATGACACGCGCTGAGTGCGCTCCTCCACTGCCCTCTGCATGCGAGAAAGCGCTGCCACGCCCTCCGCCACCTGCTGCTCCAACTCCAGCTCGCGTGCCGCTGCTTCCTGTGAATTGAATGTGAGAGAAGGTTGAGCGTGAGTGAAACAGGAGTGAGAGAGCGCCGCCACACCCTCCGCCACCTGCTGCTCCAACTCCAGTTCCTGCGCGGCTGCTTCCTGTGGGAAGGTTGAGAGAGAGACACTTGCCATGCCAAGCAGCAATCAGGACGAGACTCGTAGCTATATAGACTGTAGTAAAAATGAGAGAAGATGTACGCTTTTGAGTCGACTCAAGAGAGGATGTACCCTTTCGAGAGTTCTCAAAAGGTCGATGCACCGTGCTTGATTGATAGCAAAAGCTTGAGAATCCCAAGTGCCGCTCTTCCTGTGTATGAGCCTCACCTGTCGTGTGGCGAGGTGCGCTGCATGCTCGTCGTCGCACCGCCTCTCAGCAGCACCCAGCTCCTCCCTGAGCGCCTGAATCATCCGCGCCTCTGTGGAGTCCCGGTTCTTCGATAAGGCTTCAGAGCTCGCCTGCACTTGGTTGGTTGGTGTGTTGGTGAGACAGCATGGTGGGGTGGGGGGCGGTTGTAAGTCATGTCATGTTCGTAAGACGCCTTTCAGCAGCAGCCAGCTCCTCCCTGAGCGCCTGAATCATCCGCGCCTCTGTGGAGTCCCGGTTCTTGAACAGCGCTTCAGAGCTCGCCTGGAGTTGGGGTGGTGGGATGGCATGGAATGGAGGGGTGGAACGGCATGCTGGTATGACGCCTCACAGCGGCGATGAAGGCGCCGGCAGCAGCAGCAGCAGCAGCAGCAGCAGCCAGATCCTCTCTGAGCGCCTGAATCATCCTTGCCTCTGTGGAGTCCTGGTTCTTGGAGAGTGCTTCTGAACTCGCCTGCAGTAGGGATGGTGGCATGGCATGACAGTATGGTGGAGTGAGAGGGCATGCTGGAATGATAGGTGTGGTGGGGCGGTAGCATGCTATGCTGGTACGGTGGGGTGAGACAGTATGGCGCCTCTCAGCAGCACCCAGCTCCTCTCTGAGCGCCTGAATCATGCGTGCCTCTGTGGAGTCCCGATTCTTCGAGAGTGCTTCAGGGCTCGCCTGGTGGTATGGTGTTGGGATGATGGGTGCTGGTACGACTGGTGTGGTGGGGCAATAACATGCTAGGAGCAGTAGAAACAGCAGCAGCACCCAGCTCCTCTCTGAGCGCCTGAATCATCCGCGCCTCTGTGGAGTCCCGATTCTTGGACAGTGCCTCTGAACTCGCCTGGAGTCGGTTGGTGGGATGGTGTGGGGTGATTGGAGTGGTGGGGGGCGGTACCATGCCATTAGGTTAGGCCAAGAGAGGAGCGGGTACTCTGTCTCGTGATTCTTTGCCTCTTGAGGCGCCTCAAAATGCACCTCACTACACGTGCCTCAAAAGGCGCCTCAAAATGCACCTCACTACACGTGCCTCAAAAGGCGCCTCAAAATGCCATTAGGCCAAGGGAGGAGCGGGTACTCTGTCTCGTGATTCCTTGCCTCCATCCCTTGTGCCACTGACTCTCAACTCCCTCCCTCCCTCCCTCCCTCCCTCCCACCCACCCGCACTCGCACGCACCTGCAGGGAGGCGAGTTTGGCTTGGAGCTGTCAAAAGAGGAAAGGTGGGCTGCGAAGGCCTTACTTCCATCGACTCGTGTTGTAAAACAACGAAACAAACTCCATGGAAAAATGGCGGAAGGGGCCTGGTGTGCGCTAGCTTAGAACGTTATTAAGAGAGCCAGTTCAAGACAAATCTCCGTCCCACCCGCACTCGCACGCACCTCCAGGGAAGCGAGCTTCGCTTGGAGGGCAGCGGACTGCTTCTCAGCATCCTCCAGCGCGCCACACAGCGCCTCTGTCTCCCTGTTTTTAGCTTCCATCCCTGCTGCCCCTGCGTCCCCACACTCGTTTCACTCCCTCCCTCTCTCCTTCGCTCCCCCTTCTACCCCCCTCCCTCCTTCGATTCCTCCCTTCCCTACTCCCTCCTTTCTTCCATCGCTCAAACACTCCCTCCTTCCCTTCCTCGCACGCACGCACCTGCAGCGAGGCGAGCTAAGCTTGGAGAGCAGCGGACTGCCTCTCAGCATCCTCCAACGCGCCACACAGCGCCTCTATCTCCCTGTTCTTAGCTTCCATCCCCGCTGCCCCTACCTTTCAACTCCCTCCCTACCCCCCTCCCTCCCTCCCCCCTCACTAGCACGCACCTGCAGGGAGGCAAGCTTGGCTTGGAGAGCAGCGGAATGTCTCTCAGCATCCTCCAGTGCTCCACACAGCGCCTCTATCTCCCTGTTCTTAGCTTCCATCCCCGCTGCCACTGCTCCTTCTGCTGCCACTGCCTCTGCCCGTGCACTTGCCAACTGCTGCTGCAATGCTCTCACCACACTATCCACTGATCCACGGTTGTTCCTCTGAGGGGAGATAGTGTAAGGTGGGGGAGGAGCAGAGGGGAGTGACAACCTTGTTGCTGCTGCCACTGCCTCTGCCCGTGCACTTGCCAACTGCTGCTGCAATGCTCTCACCACACTATCCACTGATCCACGGTTGTTCCTCTGAGGGGAGACAAGATCAGTTGCAAGGAGGGACGAAGGAGGGAGAGCGGGGGAGAGAGAAGGGGATTGGGTCAGAACTTACTTCTTTTACTGCCGCCGCCTGTTCCGTATCCTTCTTGTTTCTGTTTCTGTTCCTCCTTGCTTTCTTCCTCTGTTTGCTCATCTGCCTCATACCTGTAAATTGTTGCACCTCACTGCACCTCCCATGCACCATTCCCCATCTCCATGCTCCAATCCTCACCTCCTCGTGAAGCAGCTCCTCCAGCTGCTCGTTCTCCGCCTTAAACTCCTGCAGCCCAAGGTAAATGCTCATGCGCATATCTGTCGCACCTCACTCCACCTCACTCCACCTCACTGCACCGCACTGCACCTCATGGCACCTCACTGCACCTCCTCATGCCCCTCCAACCATTCCTCACCTCCTCGTGAAGCAGCTCCTCCAGCTGCTCGTTCTCCGCCTTGTAATCCTGGAGCCTAAGGTAATGTCCATGCGCCTCCTCACACCTGTGGCACCTCGCTGCACCTGACAGCACCTCGCTGCACCTACTCATACACCAATCCTCACCTCCTCGTGAAGCAGCTCCTCCAGCTGCTCGCTCTCCGCCTTGTAATCCTGCAGCCAAAGGTAATATCATATCATGTGCCTCATGCCTGTCGCACTGCACTGCACCTCCTCATACACCATCCCTCACCTCCTCGTGAAGCAGCTCCTCCAGCTGCTCGCTCTCCGCCTTGTAATCCTGCAGCCAAAGGTAATATCATATCATGTGCCTCATGCCTGTCGCACTGCACTGCACCTCCTCATACACCATCCCTCACCTCCTCGTGCAGCAGCTCCTCCAGCTGCTCGTTCTCCGCCTTGTAATCCTGCAGCTTTGGACAGTTAATGCTCATGTGCCTCCTCATGCCTGTAACACCTCACTGCACCTCACTGCACCTACTCATACACCATTCCTCACCTCCTCGTGCAGCAGCTCCTCCAGCTGCTCGTTCTCCGCCTTAAACTCCTGCAGCTCGCACCTCACTCCACCTCACTCCACCTCACTGCACCGCACTGCACCTCACGGCACCTCACTGCACCTCCTCATGCCCCTCCAACCAGCCCTCACCTCCAAATGCCCCTCCAACCATTCCTCACCTCCTCGTGAAGCAGCTCCTCCAGCTGCTCGTTCTCTGCCTTGTACTCCTGCAGCCGCGCTGACAGCTGTGCACAGATCTGCAGGGGCAGGCAAAGGGAGCGAAAGAGAAAGAGAGGCAGAGGAAAGGGTACGTGGCTGCTTGGTTGCTGCTATGCTACCAAGTCACTCCACCCGCCTTGTACACCTGGAGCCGTGCTGACAGCTGCGCACAGATCTGCAGGGGGCAGGCAAAGGGAGCGAAAGAGAAAGAGAGGCAGAGGAAAGGGTACGTGGCTGCTTGGTTGCTGCTATGCTACCAAGTCACTCCACCCGCCTTGTACACCTGGAGCCGTGCTGACAGCTGTGCACAGATCTGCAGGGGCAGGCAGAGTGGGGGAGAACTAGGCGGAAGGGAGTGTGATTGTTTGGTTGCTGCTATCAAGTCACTCCCTCCACCCGCCTTATACTCCTGCAGCCGCGCCGACAGCTGTGCACAGATCTGCCAAGGGCATGGAGAGGGAGAAATAGAAGACTTTTGAGACGTCTAAAAAATGCAGCCGCGCCGACAGCTGTGCACAGATCTGCCAAGGGGGCATGGAGAGGGAGAAATAGAAGACTTTTGAGACGTCTAAAAAATGCAGCCGCGCCGACAGCTGTGCAGTGCACAGATCTGCCAAGGGCATGGAGAGGGAGAAATAGAAGACTTTTGAGACGTCTAAAAAATGCAGCCGCGCCGACAGCTGTGCAGTGCACAGATCTGCCAAGGGCATGGAGAGGGAGAAATAGAAGACTTTTGAGACGTCTAAAAAATGCAGCCGCGCCGACAGCTGTGCACAGATCTGCCAAGGGCATGGAGAGGGAGAAATAGAAGACTTTTGAGACGTCTAAAAAATGCAGCCGCGCCGACAGCTGTGCACAGATCTGCCAAGGGCATGGAGAGGGAGAAAAAGAAGGAGAGAGGCAGACAAAAGAGAGAGGAGAAGAGGGAAGGAGGCTGTAGGGAAAACCTTCTAGTTCCTGACTCTCAGTCACCGCAATTGACTCTCAGTCACCGCAATTGACTCTCAAAGTCACCCACACGCATCCCTCATCTTTCACCCTTCATGCATCCATGAATCACATATCTCCATGCAAGCCAGGCCACGTGAAGAACAACCTCGCTTCACCCCACATGCATCCCTCATCCTTCACCCTTCGTGCATCCATGAATCACGTATCTCCATGCAAGCCAGGCCTCCTTCGTTTTGAGGCGCCTCAAAATGCATCCCTCATCCTTCACCCTTCGTGCATCCATGAATCACATATCTCCATGCAAGCCAGGCCTCCTTCGTTTGCCCGATGCCTGTAGTGTGGCCTATCAGAGAAGCCCCTTGGCCTGCCATGCCTAACGCACCACCAAACACGTGCATCCCTCATCCTTCACGCGTCCACGTGCCCATGCCTTCCGACACACACACACACACACACCCGTGTAAGCCACGTGAAAGAAGGAGTGTTTTGAGACGTCTCAAAACGCCCACGCCTTCCCACACACACACACACACACACACACACACACACATACCCGTGTAAGCCTGGCCTCTTTGGTTTCCCCAATGCCTGTGGTTGATTCAAGGATGCCCCTCGGTCTGCCATCCCTAACGCACCACCAAACGCATACATCCCTCATCCTTCTCCATCCCTCAAACATTCATGCCTACCCGTGTAAGCCTGGCCTCCTTGGTTTGCCCAATGCCTGTAGCTGATCGAAGCAGTCCCTTGGCCTGCCAGGAACAGCCAGAACAAACGAGAGAGGAGGGAGGAGGGAGGGTTTGAAAGGGAGGAGATTGGAGTGGAAAACTAAAGTTGCTGTGCTCATGAACAATTCTGATCAGTGCTCCAATCCAACCGGATTGTCCTGCTGCATCCGTAAACCCTTTCTGTCAAAATTCTTTGATACCTTTTTTCTCACCTCTTCAAGGTCTCGTGGAGTCTCTGATTTGACAACTCCTTGTAAAAATCCACTCACCTCTTCAAGATCCCGTTGAGTCTCTGACGCTTTCACCACCTTCTCCCTTGTCTTCCCAATACAATAACCACCATGCTCCTGCTTTACAAGTGCAAGCAACCATAGACCCATACTCTCAACTCCCTTCAATATAGTTCACATACCTCCTCGAGATCCCTCTGAGTCTCTGACGCTTTCACCACCTTCTCCCTTGTCTTTCTGTCCCTCTCAACCCCCTCCTCCTCCCCTTCCTCCTCCTCCTCCTCCTCCTCCTCCTCCTCCTCTTCCTCCTCCTCTCCTTCCCCTCCCTCCTCTTCGCCCTCTTCTTTTTCCACTCCGCCTCCCTCCTCCATTTCTAACCCCCCTTGCTCCCCTACTCTCCTCCCAGCTTCCCCATCCTCTTCTTTTCCCCCATTCTTTAACCTCCCCTCTCTAATCCCACCGTCATTCCCTCCCACCACCCCCAGTCCACCCACCACCTTACCACCACCATCCCCTGCTGCCTCTCCCCCTGTCACATCCATCCGAGAAATCCCAACCTCAGCCCCAACTCCAGCCTCAACCGCGCCACCAACCTTTACACCACTCTCCACCCCTTCCCTCCTCCCATTCTGATCACGCCCCAGTTCCCTTTCCACCCCCTCCTCCTCACTACCCGCAGCTTCCCCTCGTCCTACCTCGCTTCCTCCTAACTCCCCTCTCCTCCCACTCCCAACAGGCTCTCTTAACCCTGATCCTGATCCCAACTCTCCTGCTGACAAAAGCACCCCACCTTCCGCAGACACAGGAAGAGCTCCTTCCACCGCAGCAACTTGCTTCTCAACCGCACTGGATCCCTCCAACTCCCTCCTTTCTCCCCTAGTAGGTGCCTCTACGGATGCACTTGGTTTACCCTCACACCCTTCCCCTTCTGTGCCATTACCCTGCACACCCGTGTCACTCCCCCCCTCACTCTTTGCTCCTTCTTCGCCCCTTACTTGGCTCCCTCCTGGCTCTGCTGTCCCTCCTGCCCCTGCTGTCCCTCCTGCCTCTGCTGCACTCCCAAAATTTAGAGCATCCGCACCTGTCACTGCCTCAATCCCCAATCCACCACCCAAGCCTGTATCCGACCCAGCTGCCGAACCAGCTGCTGGCCCCACATCCAGACCTGCTTTTGCAGCTCCGGTCGTGGCAGCAGCAGCAGCAGCAGCAGAAGCTTTACTAGCATCAGAACTCCTGCTCCCATCCCTTCCTCCTGCTTCTAACCCCCCTGATGCTCCCCCTTCCGCTCCTTCCGCTGCTCCCACTGCTTCCACACCTGCCCCCCTCTTGTCTGCAGCTGCATCAGTGGCCCTTGCAGCCGCTGCAGCTGCATCAAGGCGCGCAGCAGCAGTACTATCCGCAAGGAGAGTGTCTGACCCCGCACCTGCCCCAGCAGCGATCAAGCTCCCAACAGTCATGGTAGTACCCCCTCCGGTTAACCCTTTACCAATAGATCCTCCTGCTGCTGATCCCCCACCAGTTGAACCTCCACCAGTTGATCCCCCACCAGTTGAGCCTCCACCAGTCGACCCTCCACTAGAGCTCGCCTCGACCTTCTTTCTCCTGCCGCCACCTGCGCCCTTCCCCCCTCGCACCCCTGCTGTGCCTGCTGCTTTTCCCTCTGTTTCGGAGGAGCTTCCAGGTTCATCCAGGGATGGAGCGCTGATGGATCCTTTAAGAGCTGCCCCGTTAGTGGCTCTAGAAGAGGTTGGCTTTGATTTCGACCTGTCTAGTTTGCCCTGTGAGAGTGTACGTTGATGGACAGAGGGTTGATGTTGGGGAAGATAAAACATAGAACCAAATCAGAACAACGAACGAGACAGAAAGCAGGGCAAGGAAACAGGTGGGAAGGGGCGGCTGGTGGGTCGAATCGATGCATCAAATGACCAAGGCCAGTCACGTCATAGAAACCAAAGCAATAGCCAGCCAGCTCGCATTGCTGGGTTATGAGTTCAAACCTGAAGGGATACACCACTTTATAACCAAACCGCAAACCGAGCACACCACAGCAGTTCCCCCTTCATCTTGGCTGCTGCTGCGAGTCAGCCCACTCACCTTCTCCCTTGCTGCTGGTGTCTAGCGCAGTCCCATAAGCTCCCACGCTGCTTCCAATGCGCTAAGAAATGAGAACAGTTGCTTCCCTTACCAATGTATGACAACAGAACAGATAGGTACCTATGTATCAAATGCACACGTAGGTACGGCTGCTGCTGTGAGTCAGCCCACTCACCTTCTCCCTTGCTGCTGGTGCCTTGCGCACTCCCACAGGCTCTAGTGCTGCTCCCGATGCACGTAACGGGCACAACAATCAGGAGGGTGGGAGGAAAGAGGGGAAAAGAAAAGCATGAGTTGGTTGCTTGAGAAACAAAGCCTGAATGCCTTCCATTGATCAATGATCCTTCCCTCACTCTGACCTGAATAATTATCCACCCCTCCCAGCCCAGCCCAACCGCACTGCGCTCGTCTTAAGACGCATTGTAACGTCCTCCTCCACCCTTACCAGCCCACCAGCCCAACCGAAATCAACCGAGCTCAACCTCTCGCTTCACCTGCTAGCTGCTCCTCCAAGGCTGAATCCTCATTCCGTGCCGCCACACTCACTGTTTGACCCACCGATTCTCTAGAGGGCGTCTTAAGACATATCAATCAAAACGCCCTCGATCCATCCATCCATCCTTACCAACCCAGCCCAACCGCACAGAACCAAACCCAACTGCACGATTTACCTGCTAGCTGCTCCTCCAGAGCTGAATCCTCATTGCGTGCCGCCACACTCACTGTGCGATCCACCGCTTCTAGCAGCTCTGGGAGGAAGGGGGAGGAGGGGAGGTGAAAGGGGGAGAAGGGAGAAAGAGGTGGAGGGAAACGGCGTTGGGGGGAAAGGGACGCAAGGATAGGGGGAGATGAGCAGGGGGGAGGAGGGAGCTGTAGTAGGGATGGCGTTTTTGGCAACACACGGAGCAGTGGAAGGAGCAAAGTCCTCAATTCATGCCGCCACACTCACAGTGCGATCCACCGCTTCCAGCAGCCCTGGGAGAGGAAATGGGGGAGGTGAGTGGGGGAAAGGAGCGGAGGTAGAAGGTGGTGGGAGGAGGGCGTTTCTGGCAGCAAAACGAGCAGCGAGCGGAGCTGAATCCTCATTTCGCGCCGCCACACTCACAGTACGATCCACCGCTTCCAGCAGCCCTGGGAGAGGAAATGGGGGAGGTGAGTGGGGGAAAGGAGCGGAGGTAGAAGGTGGTGGGAGGAGGGCGTTTTTGGCAGCAAAACGAGCAGCAAGCGGAGATGAATCCTCATTTCGTGCCGCCACACTCACAGTACGATCCACCGCTTCCAGCAGCCCTGGGAGAGGAAAGGGGGGAGGTGAGTGGGGGAAAGGAGCGGAGGTAGAAGGTGGTGGGAGGAGGGCGTTTCTGGCAGCAAAAGGAGCAGCAGGCGGAGCTGAATCCTCATTTCGTGCCGCCACACTCACTGTGCGATCCACCGCTCCTAGCAGCTCTGGGAGAGGGGAAGGAGTTGGGGAGGAGGGGAGGGGGGGAGAAGGGAGAGGAGGGAGAGGACGATGGGAAGTCGTTATTAAGAGCCGCCACACTCACTGCGCTTTTCCACGGCTTCGCCTGTAACCTCGTCATGAACAGCATCTACACCCCCGACATAGTCACTGTCACAGTAACGGTGTCGGCAATGCCTACTTTCACCCCCGTCATAGTCAACCTCACTGTGAGACGGTGTCACTGCCTACCTTCAGCCGCTCGCAGCCATCCTGCCATTGCGACCGACTATCACCCCGGTCCCGCGTTTCACGGCGACCAGCTTCGGGAAGATGATGGATGGATGCAGCCGATTTTGTGGGCGACTAAAGAATGGATTCACGGCTACTAAGTTCGGGACGAGACTGCTTGCAGCGTCGCGACTGGCGCAGGGTTTGCGATTGATTACTCTCCGCCTGTCTACTGGTCGATGACCGGATTTCACGGTCCTGGAAAACTACGTCCAATCACGCAGCAAGCGTCCTAGTAAGCCTCATGACGGACGAAGAGACACTACTAATCGCGAACGGTGCGTAACTTCGTCGCCAACCATTCGCAACAACTAGCAAGCTCTCGCCGCAACAGTGATCGTCGCCTCGCGGACTTCCTTCGCGCAGGTCATCAGCAGGTCATTAGCAGGTCATTAGCAGGTCCCCAAACGTAACAGCCTCGTACGTGTTCGCCTCTTCTGAATGAAATGTGCAGCTACGGCGTGGTTACGATGGATACCCTGCGCTAACGCGTGAGGAAGCGACTCTTGAGTCGACTCAAAAGTAACTACGGGGTGGTTCCGCTGGATACGCTGCACTAACGCTTGACGAACGGATAGTACGTTACGAGCCAGCTATCGTCCAAGCAAATCCGCCCCGTCTAGTTTTGAGGCGCCTCAAGACGAGCGGATAGTACGTTACGAGCCAGCTATCGTCCAAGAAAATCCGCCCCGTCTAGTTTTGAGGCGCCTCAAGACGAACGGATAGTACGTTACGAGCCAGCTCTCGTCCAAGCAAATCCGCCCTGTCTGTAGCTCGCCTCGTCAAAACGCAATGTGCAACTACGGGGTGCTTACGCTGGACACTTAGCCAGCTCCGTTAACACGCGCGACGCAATCTGGCGGCGAACACGGCCGCTTAGTGATGCCTGAGCGAACCTGTCAGTACTAAAGGAAGTCGCAGATAATAACCTTTCGCCACTTGTGTCATCAACCATTTCCTGACGCCCAGCGAGGCTGTGAAAATGTGAACCTCCCAGCACACGCAAATCGAAGTTGGGATGTCCTGAAGGTATTGGGTGCGGTGGTGTGCAGTGTGCCGTGGCGGAAACGGTTGTTGATGGTGGAAGGAGCAGTCGGCAATCTCGATGCTGTGCTGGACTGGACTGGGCTGAAGGGGACAGCTCCAAGGATTGTGACCAGGCCTGTCGATTCAAGGGCATATTCCCTTAATGCCCTGAACATTCCGGGCTACTTTCGCTCCAGCTCGACTGCCAAAAGTGTTAGATTCGTACTGCACCCGTGCCACTAAGTGCCGCGCTCGACCCTTCCCCGGATGCGTTAAGGGCCCAAACCAGGCCTTCCCCTGTCTCGAAGTTTTCGTTTCTGGTTGTAGGACCCACCACCCCCCCAAATTCTGCCTGACCCCACCCCCTTTCTCCTTAGGTTGCACGAGAGGAGTGGATTTTTCCCTTAACGTTTTCTAGCCAATCCTGTGTTTGTAAAGCGTCTAAGTCAGCTTGGAGCACCCGAATTGTCCCTTATTGTCTAAGTGTCCCCCCCGCCCTCTTCCTCCTTGGGTTGCACGAGAGGAGTGGATTTTCCCTTAGCGTTTTCTAAGCCAGCTTGGAGCACCCGAATTTCCCCTTAGCGTCTGAGAGTCCCCCCCGCCCCCCCCCCCCTTTCTCAGGTTGCACGAGAGGAGTGGATTGTTCCCTTAGTAAAGTGTCTAAGTCAGCTTGGAGCACCCGAATTTTCCCTTAGCGTCTTTAAGTGCCCCCCTCCCCCCCCTTTCTCCTGAGGTTGCACGAGAGGAGTGGATTTTTCCCTTAGCGTTTTCTAGCCATCCCGTGTTTGAAAGTCAGCTTTAGAGCACCCAAATTCGTCTAAGTGCAAACTCTTCACAGGCCCGGATTTTAAGTTTTCACTTTGGGGTGCGCCCGTGACCGTTAAGGGCACCCAAACGCTCAGCTACACCAAAAACAGGGTCAGATGGGGAGGAGCTGGGGAGCGCAAGTATGGGTCCCAGGAACTTCGACAGGCCTGACTGTGACTGCCGAGACAACGGTCGCCTCGTTATTTGTTACAAATATATGTTTACTACACAACTTAAAAACACTCCAAATCTGGACCAACAATTTCTCAAACCTCAACAAAATAAAATCTGAAGCTGGTCATTTCCTGGAGACACCATGCGCTTGTGCTGCCCTGAAGGGCGGGACGTACAACCCAACCCCCGGCTTATCACCCGCCGAACCACCTCCCTTTATTTCCACTAACCCATCCTCTTTTCTCCCCCTCCCCTCCCCATTTGCCTCATCCTCATCCACCATATCCGCCCAGCTCAGCCCACAGGGCGAGGCTAGGCCCTCTTGAGGAGCCAAACCCAATGCTGCCACGTCACCAGAGCCAGGGGCGGGACTAGGCTGGTTCAAGGCGTCATGGGGAGCGTGAGTAGGAGAAGGGTGAGCAGGAGCAGGGACAGCAGGAGCAGGGTCAGGAGCAGGGCTCGCAAGGTTACGACCAGGTGCATGGGCGGGGACAGCAGCAAGACAGGGAGCAGCCATGCGTTCAGGAGCCTCAGGGGTACCGACGGCAGGATCAGGGGTATGGGCTGGAATGGGGGTTGTATGTTGTGGAGTCCCACTTGTGCCGATTCCATGCACTTGAACCTTGCTACCCCTTGCAGCAGCAGGCGGGGTGGTGGTGGTGGTGGTGGTAGGGGCAGCATGAACTGCAGTGGTGGCACCTGCTGCTCCTCCTGCTGCAGCTCCTGCTGTTCCTGCAGCACCGAATAGAAACGGACCGCTCACGACTCCTCCTTTCCCCTTCTCCTTGCTCTCATCACCAGTCCTCGCCCCATGTGCTTGGTCTTGCTGTCCATCATCAGTCTTTGCCTCAAGGCTCAAGCGTGAAAACGGCAGCGAGCTGACCTCATCTGCAGCCTCGTCCTGCTCTCTTCTCTGCTTCTGCCCTGGCTTCTCCCCTCTCCTACCCTCCGCACTCACAGGCCTATCTGCTGTCACTGCAGCCACACCCACCATACCCCCCCCAGCAACCGCATTGCCTCGAGCCCTGCCCCCCAAGCCAGCACCCCTGCCCCCCCTGCCTGCACCTGCTCCTGGATGGAACCTCCCCTGGTTCAAACCTCCAGAAGGAGAGCTTCCCGGGTGGAAACCACCAGGCTGGGCGCCACCAGGGTGGAAACCACCTATCACAGGGGCAAACGCTGCGTCTAGTAGGCGGTTACCACCTCCCAGCCCGCTCACCCTCCTCCGCCCACCCTCTCTTCCAACAGTGCCAGCGCTGCCATCACCACTGGTACCAGGCCCGTCCGCCCTCTCTCTTTCACTCTGCTGCCCGTTGCCCTTGCCCGCCTTGGATCGCTCTTCCCCACGCCTCTCCTCCCCACGCTTCTCTTCAACACCCCTCCCCTCCCCACTCTTCCTCCCCCCACTCCTCTCCGCCCTACTGTTGCTCAATTCGAGCCTTTCCTGCCTGCTGCTACCCCCTCCCTCTCCTCCTTGCCCAGTACTTTTCCCCCGCCTCCAATCCACTTCTCTCTTCTCCTCCCGGTTACCCCTCCCTCCTCCCCTCCCCCTCACATCCCCTCCGCCTGTCTCTCCTGTCCCTTCCTCTAAGTCTTCCACAAGAACCCCTTCCCTCTCCTTGCCTTTCCTATGCGTATCACCACGCTCCCCTCTCTGCTCCCCTCTCTGCTCCCCCCTCTGCTGCTGGTGGTGCTGGTGCCTCCCTGCCCTTCGCTCCCCATCCTTCCCTGATTTCATCCCCTCTCTTTCCCCGTCCCCCGGACCCACCTGCTGCTGCTCCTTCTTCACTCCTCCTGTCACCCCTTCCCTCCCTCTATCTGCTCCTTCTCCTGCCCTATCTCCCCTTTCCAAACCCGCTCTTTCTCCCTCCCTATCTCCCTTGCCCGCCACAGCTCCCCCCTCCCTCATCTGCTTGGCAGCAGTGGCAGCGGCAGCAACGGGTGTGATGCCGGTGGCAGCAGCAGCTTGATACAGTCGCTCATATACCTCCCTATCCTTCTGCACTTGCACCTGATGAGGTGAGAAAATGGATGAAGGGGTTGGGGTTGGGGTGATGAGGGAGAAAATGGATGAAGGGGTTGGGGTTGGGGTGATGAGGGAGAAAATGGATGAAGGGGTTGGGGTGATGAGGGAGAAAATGGATGAAGGGGTTGGGGTTGGGGTGATGAGGGAGAAAATGGATGAAGGGGTTTAAGTGAGGGGTCTTCATTCGCTTGGCAGCAGCAGCAGCAGCAGCAGCAGCAGCAACGGGTGTGATGCCAGTGGCAGCAGCAACTTGGTACAGCCGCTTATACACCTCTCTATCCATCTGCACCTGAACCGGATGAAAGAGTAAGGGGGATGAACAGCGAAAAGTAGATTGGATTTTTTAGACGATTCAAGGGTCGTTCCTGCACATCCCTGTGCTTCTGCACCTGATAGGGGAGATTTCTGGGAAATATACATATATATATATAGAAAATATATATATATATAATCATAATAATAATCCACGCTCACTACGTCAAGCGTCCCATTCAAGTGATATGGGCATACCGAAGCAGCGTTACAAGAAGCACAGCAGCATAGCAAGAGGCAGAAATAATTATCGTTCCATGTAACAACGCAGCAAAACTCACAATGACGTTCATAAACTGGTGTTGTCCGTCTATCCTCCGTTTTGAAATCGTCTAGGAAACAAACCCAGCTAATGACGCAGCAAAACTTACGATGCCCTTCATAAACTGGTGTTGACCGTCTATCCTCCTTCTTGCCTTTCCTCCCTCCATCCCCATCCCCATTCCCATCTTCATGCTCCCTTGTCCCCCACCACCAGCAGCACCACCAACAGCGGCACTACTCGTGTCATCCCTCCCTCCCCCCTTGCTACCCCACTCACGCCCTCTCTCCCATCCACCGTTCTGCCTCCCACTCCCCCTTCCCCTTTCCCAACCACCACCAGCAGCAGCGGACGCACCACCACGACCACCACCAGCACCACCAGCACCACCAGCAGCAGCACCAGCAGCAGCACCGCCACCAGAACTTTCCCCCTCATACGCCTCACGCCACAAGGGGTTACCTCCCCACCCTCGCCCCTCTCGCCCACCACCCATCCCTCCTCCCCGACCTGCCCCCTCTGAATCGTCCCCTCTCCCTCCTCCTTCTTCCTCCTCTTCTCCCACTCCCTCTCCTCCTCCCCCCTCAACCGGCTTGCTTCCTGCTGTGCTCTCGTCACTGTCACTATCGCTATCATCACCCCCACCACCACCGCCACCACCAGAAGCAACGGCACCAGAGCTGTACCTGCGGGCGCCTCTGCCCCTGCTACTGATCACTCCGCCACCGCAAAACCCGCTCTCCACACTGTCACTATCGCTATCATCAACCGTACTGCCTCCCCCTCTTCCTTTTGCTGCTGCTGCTGCTGCACCTCTCCTACCCCTCTGCCCCTTCGCTGTTTCGTCTGCATTCCCCTTCACCTTCGCGCCCCTGCCCCTACTGCTGATCACCCCACCACGAAACCCGCTCTCCACACTATCACTATCACTATCGTCAACCGTACTGCCTCCCCCTCCCCCTCTTGCTGCTGCTGCGTCTCCCCTACCCCTCTGCCCCTTCGCTATCCCACCTACATTCCCCTTCCCCTTCACGCCTGCAGGCCCCTTCCCTTGTGCACGCCCCCTCACATCATCTTCCCCGTGCAAACTATCAATCGAGCTGTCTCTACTATGCACCGATCCTTCTTTACTATTTAAGGAACCTTCTCTGCTATGTAAAGAGCCCTCCCTATTGCCTAACGACCCTCCTTCACTATTCAACACGTGTTCTCTGCTGTCCAATACGCCCTCATTGCTCAAAGCAACCGGATCATCCTGTTCACCTCTTTGCTCCACCGATTCCTCCTCACGCGCCTCTTTTCTCTCCTCCCTTGCTTCTCCTTGCTTCTCGTCTCTTACAGCCCTTTCATTTCCCTCCGCGCTACCGCCCCCTGCGATCCCCACGATATCCCCCGCTCGTTCATCTCCAACGCCCCCCTTGCTTCCTTTCCCCTCCGCTTCGTCGCTTTCCCCGCCGTGTCTCCCCGTTTTGGCCCCTTCACCTCCCATCAGGTGCATATCTAAGCGGGGTGAGAAGAGGGGTCGGGGGAGAAAAAAAAGGCCTTCCTTAATAGACGTTTCGGAAAGGCAGGCGCTACGGAGAGGGTGAGGAGGATACAAGTTTCGAAATGACGAATGCAAAAGAAGGGGAACGGGGGGGAAACGAGACGAAGCCAGAAATTCAGAAGCCACATAGAGAATTAAAAAAAAAAAAAAAAAAAAAAAAAAAAAAAAACAGCCATCCCTTTAAACCGTCATCCTCCCGTTCTTCACCCCTTTCGTGGCTCAAACGAACACAACTGAGAAATTATCATATAAACGTTTCGTGGAATCCGTGCATCCTCTTTTTTAAGCGCCTCAGAACAGAAGTCGTTGCTCACAAAACACACCTGAGAGCTTCTTGTTTAACCGTTCCGCGGGATCTACGCATCCTCCATCGACGGCTTTCTCGAGAACATTATTACTTGGAAGATCAGATTTCCCATCAACGGACGGCTCAGATCTTCCAACAGCCAACAGCTCGGGTCGCCCAACAATCAAGGGCTCGGAATCTCCATAAGTCAACGGGTCGGATTTATTATCGGTCAGCGGCTCGAATTCAACATCTGCGGAACGGCGGCCGCTGGCGGAATCCTGGGCGCAACGGTCACTGCTGGCGGATTTATCGACGCCCGTAGGAGACGGCTTCAGCACTTCGCCGCTGCTGCAGCCATTCGCTTCCTTATTCTCATCCTCGCATTTGCTTATCTGGCAGTTATCCTTCTCCATAATGAGTTGTAGAAGCCTATTGAATGCCCTAGTGAAGTTCTCTAAACAATATGAGGGATTACTGGTACCAAAACGACTAAGTACGGCAAATATCTGAGCTTGGGGCCACTTACCCTAGGCCCGGGGAAGTGCTGCTTCTGGTGAAAAAACAACTGTTTAAACGATATGTGCGATATGTGCGATGATATCGGTGGACCTAAACTTTCTGCTTTTAGTACACCCTGTTTCGCGCTAGCAGAGCATCTGGTTGCAGAACATGCACTGGTTGTAGAACGTCACCACGTTTGAAATGGTCTTATCACCGACGGTACAAGCACATTCACAAGAAAGCGGTTAGCTAGGATGCTGCATGGTAAAGAACATTAACCAAGCGTTTCAAAGCGGTTGAAAAGGGTATACAGCGATAAAGAAAAATTTTGCCCCCAGTACCACTCCGTCAGCTGGTGCGGCTTTGCCCGCAGGTTTCAGCCATACGGTTTATGGCACCTGACCGCACTGTAGCAGCGAATCGCGCAAGGTGAGAGGGTCGAGAAACAGGGTGTACGATGAAATCACTGCACCTAAGCGATGTGTGCGAATTGATTGGCTGGCCAAACTGACGGCGGAGGAGCAATTGTTCACATCCAAATCGCGTTTCCGTAACCAGTTTCGTTCATATTCGCTTGCTACCCATAGCGGTTGTTGTCCACCTCGAACCTTGAGATTACCACAAGGAAGACATTCCACAACGCTAATTGGATAAGCCTGTCTTTCTGCAGTAAGAGCCGTCAATCCAGCTCCAGGAAATCATCGAGAGGCAGCCTGCTGTTAAGTCCAAACCACGTGGTATTTCCACCTCACTCACTGTTGATACGAAATAAGGGCGGCAAGCAGCCACGCAGGCGAGGCGGCTTTATTTTTCAATGAAGGAACACAGGCTACAGACAGATTCACTATTCTCTCATGCTTGTAACTACGAACTGCGACAGGTTTTTAGATAGGAGGCGAATGGATGTAGTTGCAATCCCCCTGACAACGTTTGCATGGCAGTCTTGTTAGGTTAGCCCTACGAACGTCTATTGACTCTTCGGCGGATGGCCAGTGAATAGTTCGCTCAACACGACCATTTTGACATACCGCGATCTGGAAGCCTCTTATCCATCGGGGCTGCATTCGGCAAAAGGGACTGCCAGACCCCCTCTCATCGGTTTTCAACTCGCATTCGCCGCGTCATTCTTCGAATCCGCACTCTAAACGTACCACATTTCGCCGTAACCATTAATCCCCTCCTGGCAAAATCCGTACCTCCATTTTCCCGCCATGACCATTTTCGACCCATCCTGTCCCGCGGCCGTGATTCCCGCCCCGGGATCCCCGCCGTCGAGCTGTTCCCGGTGGAAGTACCTAGTTTTCGGGGACTGCGTGTGCTCCGCGCGCGACGCCGCGTCGCTCTACTTAGGTCTTTTTAGTATCGCGTGCTGGGCGGTGGCGGAGGTCCCGCAGGTGATCGCCAACTGTCAGGCGTCGCGCAGCGGCGTGGAGCTTGAGGAGGTGCCTCTTGCGCTGGTGCTGACGTGGATCGTGGGGTGAGTGGACGGTGCTGACGTGGATCGTGGGGTGGGTGCATGCTGCTGACGTGGATTGTGGGGTGAATGGCGGTGCTGACGTGGATCACAGGGTGATAAACAGGTCCACCTTCGTTTACTAATATGCGCATGTTTCATTCGAGGCGACATTGCACTTTAGCTAAACGTCTGGCATTGAGCCGCCCCAAAAGTCGAGGTGACATTGTCTTTTATCTAAGAGTCTGGCATTGCCCATGTGTTCACCGTCCGTCCGGTCTAAAACCGGTTACTTCTGCTTTCCACCACCCGTTTTCCCGCCCTCCAGAGATGTATTTAATCTCCTCGGCTGCCTCCTTGATCCTGTCACGGTACACTGCTACAGAGCCACATCTCTTTTTTTCTTTTGATTCAACCCTTTCACGCTGCATTCCCACTAGTGTGCCAGCCCCTCGTTTCCTTCGTAAACTGCCCGTTCGCCCGATTCCCATTCAGTTGCTTTGTCGCTTCTCTCGTTACTTCTCCTCCTCATCCCGTCTTCTCCCCTCCCCCTTGTCTTCTTTCCCTATGTCACTCCCTCTTTCCTTCCCCTGTGCTCCCTCTTTCCTACCGCTCACCTATCATTCCATCTCCCTGTGCTTCCCTTCCCCCACCTCTCCCCACTCCCTTCTCCCATTCCCTCTTCTCCTCTGTCTGCCGGCACCAAATGCATGCATCTCATCCCTGCAGCTTCCGACCCAGCTCTTCACAGCAATCGTACGTCCTTCCCTTCCTTCCTTTCCCTTCACATCCGAAGTCCCTCCGCTCTCTTCCCTCTCTCCCGCTTCACATCTATCTTTTGTTTTCTGGAACGACCCAGTACCTACCCATTTCGTCCTGACTTTTGAGTCGACTCAGGTGACATTTGAGTCGACTCAAAAGTCACCCCACTTCACCTCTATCCGTCGTATTCTGGAACGACCCAGTACCTACCCATTTCATCCTCCCGTTTGTGCTCTGCTTTTGAGACGTCCCAAAAGCCATCATTTGTGTCCTCTGTGTCCTCCTTGATAAGACGGATGAGCTTTGTCCTTGATTTGATTCATCATTACCTCTTCCCGTTTTTGCTGGTGCTGCAGCACGTGCTCTCTGCAGCGTGCAGCAGAAAGGTAAAACCCGTCTTTCCTCCTCTCCTGTCGTGTTTTGAGTCGACTCAAAACATGTGCTCTCTGCAGCGTGCAGCAGAAAGGGAAAACCGTCTTTCCTCCTCTCCTGTCGTGTTTTGAGTTGACTCAAAACACATGCTCTCTGCAGCGTGCAGCAGAAAGGGAAAACCGTCTTTCCTCCTCTCCTGCCCCTCATCCCGCGGCTCCTCGTCCTTCCCACTTCTCTCAATCCCCCCCATACTGTCACATCACAGCTCTACACAAGCACCACGTGCGTGCTAGTACTGCAGCACGTGCTCTCAGCGTGCAGCAGGAAGAGGCAGCAGCGGCGGGGGGGGAGGAGAGGCAGGAGACTTGCGACCCCCAGCAGAAACGCTCCCTTGCTAGAAGGTCCCCTCCCTGTCGGAACTACCTCTGCGTCTGCCGCTGCTGCTGGTGGTGGTGCCGCTGTTGGTGCTGATGATGGTGGTGATGATGATAGTGACGATGGTGATTATATTGAGGATGATTACGGTGCACCCAACGGGCTGTATCACGCCATGATTGATGAGGTATTTGATTGTTCTGGTGCTGGTGTTGATGGTGCTGGTGCTGGTGTTGATGGTGCTGTTGATGCTGATGATGGTAGTGATGGTGATTATGGAGATGATGGCTGATGGGGATGATTACAGTGCAGCCAATAGGCTGTGTCGCGCCATGATTGACGAGGTTTGGGATTCTATTCTAACAAGGTTTGAGGTGCTAGCGATGGGATGCTAACGGGGTATGTGATACTACTGAGATCTGTGATACTAGTGAGATCTGTGATTCTAACGAGATCTGTGATTCTAACAAGATCTGTGATTCTAACGAGATCTGTGATTCTAACGAGATCTGTGATTCTAACGAGATCTGTGATTCTAACGAGATCTGTGATTCTAACGAGATCTGTGATTCTAACGAGATCTGTGATTCTAACAAGATCTGTGATTCTAACGAGATCTGTGATTCTAACGAGGTATCAGCTCGGGTTTCGCTTCTCCAAACCTTTCTCCTTCCTAAGGAATTGCGATGGCTCAGAAGTTCCCTCCTCAGCTTACCTGTACACTTCCCGATAACACCAGTGCCCTTCTTTTTCCCATCTATGCCCCCCTTCCCCACTTTCCCCCTTCCCCCTTTCCCCCCTTCCCCCTTCCCCCGTTCCCCTGTTCCCCCCTTCCCCTTTTCCCCTTCCCCCAATCATCCAGGATTCGGCTTCACTCCCCCGCACACTGCTCCCCCTCCTTGAAGCCTCTGCAGTTGCAGGGGGGAATAGAGGGCAGCAGCAGAGGGACACGTGGCACCAGGGGATTGGTGGACGGGCATCAGGGAGGCGGAACAGTGGGAGTGGCAGCGGCAGTGGCAGCGGTGGTGGCAGCGGTGGTGGTGGCGGCAGTGGTGGTGGTGGCGGCAGTGGTGGTGGTGGCGGCAGTGGTGGTGGGAAGAGCAGGTCGATTCCAGTGGGAATGCCGCAGCGACAGTCCTTTGGGCAGTAAGGATGGAATGGATGGGGTTTGTGGTGGGGCTGTGGTGATGGTGGGGTGGTGGGGGTGGTGGGGGTGGGTGGTGGGAGTGGTGGGGGTGTGGTGTATTGTCTAGTGGTGGTATCTCCTCACCACTGCTCACTCCATTCCCTTTTCCACCTTCCCTCCTTCCCTTCATCGGGTTCTTTTTCAGGCAGCTGGCGCCCGTCTCACTCTCTCTTTCTTCACTTCCTGTATTGGAACATGCTCCCTCTCTTCTCGACTCCTTATCCACCTTCCTTCCCCCCAACCCAACCCCCGCAGGTCATCAGGGTCTTTCTCAGGCAGCTGGCGTCGTCTCACTCTCTCCAGCTCCTTTGGAGCCAGCTTTCCCCGCAACCCCTCTTCCCCCTCCCTCAATGCGGTGAGTCAGTGTGCTTGCTTGCCCCTCTGCAGTGAGTGATTGTGCTCGCTACTTGCTTTCCCCGCAACCCCCTTTTGAGGCGTCTCAAAAAAAACTCCCTCAATGCGGTGAGTCAGTGTGCTTGCTTGACCCTCTGCAGTGAGTGATTGTGCTCGCTATTTGCTTTCCCCGCAACCCCCCCGGTGCCTCTTCCTTTGTCGCTATCTCACGTTGTTTGTTCCTGTACCCTCTTCTTCTCTCCCCTCTTCTCCTCCTCTGTACCCTCACGTTGTTCCTGTACTCACCACTCACGTTGTTCCTGTACCCTCTTCTTCTCTCCCCTCTTTCTCCTCTTCCCCTCGTCCCCTCCTCCCCTTACCACACCACTCACCATCTCAGCTATCACTGTGCTCAGTGTCCCAAGGTGACATTTGAGTCGACTCAGGTGACATTTGAGTCGACTCAGGTGACATTTGAGTCGACTCAGGTGACATTTGAGTCGACTCAGGTGACTTTTGAGTCGACTCAGGTGACTTTTGAGTCGACTCAAAACTAGCCTCCCCTTACCATGCCACTCACCATCTCAGCTATCACTGTGCTCAGTGTCCCGTTTTCCTCTCTCCTCATCCCTTTTTTGTTTGTGGTGTTTCTGCTCCTCTCTCCGCTTCCCCTTCTCCCCGCACCACGCCAGGTCCTAGCCCTTGTCACCGTATCAGCTGTCTTTGGCCTCTCCTCCTCTCCTTCCCTTCACCCTACCCTCCCCTCTTCCCTCCACTCCTGGGCAAACACACCAAGAACCACCGCCTCCTCCTCCTCCTCCTCTTTCCCCTCCACTTCCTTCGCCTCTCCCTCGTCCTCCTCCCCACATTCCTCACGTGCGGTTGTTTTTGCTGACTTGAACAACACCAGTGCAGCGCAAGCATCCCTCCTCAGGCCGATTTCAAGAAAGCTGCTAGAGGTATGCTCACTTTTGAGACGTCTCAAAACTCCTCACCTGCAGTTGTTTTTGCTGATTTGAACAACACCATTGCAGCGCAATCATCCCTCCTCAGGCCAATGTCAAGAAAGCTGCTAGAGGTATGCTCACTTACGTGCCACATGACTTCTGCGTCGACTCAAAAGTCACCGGGAAAGCTGCTAGAGGTACGCTCACTTACGTGCCCATGATCACCATGCCTTCTCCTTGCTTATTTATGCCACTTGGATTCTGTACGGTATGATTTTGTGGCCAAGGACAAGTGACTGAAAGATGGAATCTTTGTGTTGAAGAACCTTCATCTTTCTATAGACGATTGACGATAGACGATTGACGATAGACGATTGAAGAACCTTATGTTCACCCTGAAAGAAATCGTCTGTCAATCTCCCCCATTCTCGATCAACATCCACAGTGCCTCCTAGATACATACACAGTGGGTGTGCCACAAGAATGTTGTACCTCCCAGTACCCTGGGCTATGCCACAGTTCTTTTGAGGCGCCTCAAAAGTCATTCTCAATCAACATCCACAGTGCCTCCCAGATACACAGTGGGTGTGCCACAAGGATGTTGTATCTCCCAGATACAAACACAGTATACCCTGGGTACTTTTGAGACATCTGGAAAAACCACAGTACTTCACTCGCATCGGACGTCCCAAACGCTCTTTTTCCAACCACGGCATGGTCAATCGCAGGCTCTCCAGACACTCGACGCAGCAAATGACATGCCACCTGTCACGCCTTCTAAGTCGACTCAAGAGTCTTCTGATCCTGCACCAACCACCAGCACTCACCTCCTTCTACCACAAAACCTCCACCTCAAACCTCCGCCCGTACCAACATCCGAGCCTCTCCCGAACCACCAAAATCCTTCCGTACCAGATTCTATCGCACTGACTCCCATCTCCCCGCAAGGCCATGATTCTACTCGAGGGATTTTTTTCTCCGATCCTGACGATCCTGACTACCCAGACGATCCAGAGCGGCATGAGGAGCTGCTATTGAGGGCAGTCGGGCAGTTTCTAGGCTGGGCCATGACCTGCATCTATTTTACAGGGCGATTACCCCCGATCATTCTTAACTGCGCGCGCGGGGCGGTTGAGGGGCTGGCGCCGCCCGCTTTTGCGCTGGCGGTGGCTGGGAATCTGGCGTACCTCGGGAGTATCCTGATTCGGTCGCTGGAGTGGAAGCAGGTTCGGCCGAACCTGCCGTGGATTGTTGACAGCGCATCATGTCTGGCCATGGATCTTTTTGTGAGTGAACATGTTTCCACGGTGTTTGATTCAACCCAAATTCTGTGATAGTGTCACGCATCATGCCTGGCTATAGCGCTCGTCGTGATTGAAGTGGTTCTGCGATTGTGCTTTCAGATGTTTCAGAACCTTGAGATTTGAGACGACTCTTTTGTTTCTTTTCTTTTCTTTTCTTTTTTTTTCTTTTAACTTGTGACGTACATGCCTAGCTATAGAGCTTCTTGTGAGTAAAGTGGTTCTGTGATTGTGCAAGGTGTGATTGTAAAGGTTGTGGTGTTATCGAGCGTGATTGTGTGTGTAGTATGATGTTGGGTGTGACCGCAAGGTTGTAATTATCAGGTGTGACTGTTAATCTTGTGGTGTAATTGGGTGTAATTAGAGGCGACAATGGTAACTTCCTTCATGTGCATGTGTTCTGCATGGATTCTGGGCCAGTTTTGGTTCTTCTCTAGTCTTGCAGAACCGATTTCTCCTCCACTTGCTTTCTCTCTCCCACTCCAACACCTTGTTCACTGCCCCTCCACTTACCGTAACCACAGATAATGTGCCAGTATTGGTACTTCACGTTCAGAGATTCTCAATACAAGCACACTGGTGACTATGACATAGTGACTGTCCATGATGCCACTGGTGCCGATTCTGAAAAGCAATAGCCGCTGAATAGTTCAGCGGGTTTCATCCTGTACCTGTAGCAATCTAGTTACTATCAAACATGTTGCAAGCAATGAACTGTAATGTACTGTATTGCAGCATATTGTATATGTTTTCCTTTTTTCCCCCTCCCCTACTTACACCTGCTGTACCTATGCTAAATTGCGGGTTGTGGGTCCAAAAGTGTTGGTTGCATCCTGAATCGAGGAAGCATCACCATTTAACAATGTCCATGCTACCGGTATGACAGGTATGACTACTTTCACAATTGAAGAGCCCCAGTCATAAATTTCGTGGAACTTCTGTTTAGCAAAAGGATGTACACGTAACGTAGATATGTACATATAATCTCGTTAAATGTACGGGGAATGGATCCCAGCTCCCGTACAGTGTTGTGGGGCCCGACGAGAGTGCAAGTGGGCCAAGAAACTGTACGGTAGCTTGTTGGCCTGGCTCGTACAACCGAAAGTGCATCCGCTCTGATGTGGGTTTTGTTCTTTTTGTGTGAGTATCCTCGATTCGATCGATGTGGATATCAATGCAACATTGATATTCGCATAACTGTACGAGACATGTTGAAAGTTGGTGTGTTTTGGGCCTTGCCATGACAGCTGTACACAATGCAATGGGTTGCCCGACAGGGTCAAGGCTTTCTGGTGGAATTCTGGGCTGGGTTGCTGCTGTGTTGATCTTCGGGTCAGTACAATTGATGCCTGCTTGAGTCCCTCCCGGTTGCCTTGTGAAGGGAGCGTATAATCTGTAGCAAGCGTTTCGCATAAGTTGCGTCAATTCGCAGCTAGCTAAAAAGGACTCGCAGGTGCTTATAAGCAAGATCTATTACCTTATTTGACTTCAGTCTCTTCTGCTTGACCTCGGTCTGTTCGTTACTATTGGTTGATAACCACGCGACGCGCTTATAACGTGGGAGCAACAGACTGGGGAGACAACCTTGGGTGCAGCGTTTCCATCCGGCGCAAGGCAAATCCGCATGCACTGGTTGGGCATCAATTGTACTTGCTGGGAGAACACAGCAACACAGTACTGTATATGATCTCGCAATAACCCCTCGAACCCACAAGGTGGCTGAAATGTGACCACCGCTTAGGGCGTGCTAAGTGGCCACACAATTCCGAATAGGGTGTGGCCGAGTTTTTGACGACCAGATGGTCGTATTATTTTTCGCGAACAACGACGAGGTGGCCGAATCAGAGTCGACTCTTTAACAGCAAAATTTTACAGTTTTGGCAATTTTAACAACTTTGGTGGCCGGATTGCAGGCTGGTTCGGAAAAGTTGTTAAATTTGCAGTTACTACAGTAGTTTAGTAGTGCGACGGGGTCGCACTATTGACGGCGATATTTCTCATTTGACGCGATCACAAATTCCGTCGTTGGGCGATACCGTGCGACGTCGCAGGCGTTTGTCGCACACTGTGTCGAATACTTGGCCGTTTTGGAGTCGACTCGGCGTCGTTTTCGTGTCAACTTTTTACAAGGCCATCAAATTCGTAAAATTTTAACGAAATTTGCGACGTTCTCCACTTGACTTACGAGTGTCGCAAGCTGGTACCTTCGCAGATACGGCCCGACGGTTTGTGGCCGATTTTTTGGAGTTTGCGATTTAACACGCCCTTAGGGCTAGAAGGACGCAAAAGTTAAGTTTGCTGCGGCGAGTTTTCCATTCTCCCTTATGTTGTGGTGTCAAATGTCGTTAAAGCCGTGGCCCAACTATCAGCTTCAACTTCGAAGTATTATAGCTTGGAAGTTGGAACTTGGTTGTCCCAGGCAGTTCTGTGGCGAGAAGTTTGTCTTTTCCGAGATTCCATTTTTTCATCCAATAAGGGTCTCGTTACGCACACTCCATGTTTGTCTTGCTACTGTTCCTAAGAAGTTGCACCTCGCCTTTAACGACATTTATATCCCAGAGATTCACAAGTGTGCCAGCCCCAACTGTTGTCCGCCAGCTGGAAAACAAAATCTGCACTTCTCCGCCCAAAACCCCCCTTTCCATTCCACCTGCACCCCTCTCGTCCCATAGCTGTGCTCGTGTTTCAGTTTTGCGGTCCAGCCCAAGGCAGCCAACCCAGCCGAGCAAAACACAAACCAGCGCATCGCAGCGCGGATAGAGTTGTGTGCTTTGGTGTCGCAGCCCTGCCCTGGGCCAACGCAACGCCAACTACAGCTCAGCAGTGGCACCTCCAATCTGGTGCGGCAAACTTGCGTTCAAGGGAAGCTCTCTTCAAATCTCTTCAAATCGTTACCAAACGTAGTAAACCGTGTGACACCAGAGAAATCCACTTTGCGATGTTGAACTTCACTGGATGTTATCCTGCAGTAACACCTGTCGAGGGCAAACAGGCTCGCATTGTGCTGGCCAGTAGAATTCTCGTCTGTCAAATTTTGCTGTTGCGTTGGCTATACTGTATCAGCACTTGTGCTTTTCGCGCACTCACTCGCGAACACGTCTTCGAAACCGCCCTACCGCCGCTTTTCTCCCGACCATCCTCACAGTCAAAAACACCAATTCACTCGCTGAGACAACTATTTGTAAGCGGCAAGCCTATGGCTGCACCATGGCCTCTACGATCGAGTTTCCTTCCGCCGGTTGATTCGCCCTAAAGAGCCTCTTTCCGTTTTTCATGAACCAATCTCATCATCATTGGGCCTCACACTTA